CTTATTATGCAATTAATTGAGCGAAGATTTCAGTACGCGAACTTGAGCGGGAGAAGCACGTTGAAGTTTCTAGCGAGATTTTCTGGTAATTTCTATTACATTGCCGAGCCGCGAACTTACAGTTCGCAAATTGCGATTTATCGCTGAAAGTCGGCAATTACGCGCGGCGCTACGCAGCAATTTAAGGAACGAGAAGTTACGTACTGCAAAAGATTACCGCGCGTCACCCGCGTCGTGACTGAAATTCGTAAATTCCGGTTTAGCCATGCTAGACCCGGGAAATTGAATCTGAAAAATTTCTTTACCATCGTTTTTTCCGCCAATTCGGGAGATTATGGAAATAACACAGCGAGCCTCACGGGGATAGTCGCGACTAATACAACGAGCAAACGCCATGGAATTCGCCCTAAAGAGAGACGACGTGGAATTTATCCGTAGCATAATTCCGCCATCGATCCGCGTGCCATCGTCATATTTTCGCCATTATTACGACTATCCGGTGCTCTGTTTTCCACCCTCACGCAGTCATAATAAACAATCGCGTGGATTCGCTGATATTTCGCGTGGTCTTGGAGATATCTACCTCCCGTTATTCATTTCTCATAAAATAAAAGTAACCACTGTTTAATAATACTAGCATCTGGACACTTTTATATCCAATTCTTATGTTTTGCTCTTGAAATACGAATATTTAAACTTTCAACACGTAAAATATATGTATACATTCAATATATATATATATATATATATGTGTGTGTGTGTGTGTGTGTGTGTGTTTGACTGACGATAAATATCCTCGTATAAGTACTGCACTTACATACAGGTCAGCGCGACAGTTTGCCTATCCGTTTCGCTGGCAGGCGAAGTGTAGCTGTGCACGCTCTTGGTAAGTCTTGACGGAATGTTCACATGCATACTTCCTTCCCTATGAAGTTTACGTTCCAAGTAAACATTCCGCCAAGACCCTCTAAGGCCACGTACGACTACACGCGCTTGTCAGCGAAGCGCATAGACCTGCCTTACTGACATCGTTGTTTTGACAATAAGAATGTCCAGAGTTAGACACCAGTGTTATTAGTTCCCAGGCATTGGCACTTTTACCTTAATGGAGTATTGATTTTTCTCAGCGAGTGGCCATTTAGAGAAATGCAAAGTAAGATCAAGCCGAAATCGTTCGTTGGAGTCGCGTATCACGAATTTCCCGAATGGTCGAATTGCGCGCAATCGTTCAAGGCAATCAAGTTAAGCTGATGATCCAAGCTGTATTCGTCGGTCGTTTGCTCGTTCTGCCCGATCAGCGCGTTAATCAGTGTGGGAGGAGCTTGGATTTACAGCATCGCGAATGCAGGAAAGACGAAACGACCACGTGTCGGTTATACCAGCTGTTGAAGCTTGTGGCAGCTCTCGGACCCACGGCGTGGTCGGGTGTCGTCGTGAGTCTTCCACCTGCTATAAAGCAGAGTTATGCGATCCTCATAAACCCGGAGGCCTTGATGCGCGCAATGTGGCTTTCTAGCAAGCGAGATTTAGCAAGGTAAGCTGCTTGCCGAGCTCGCTGCTTCGAACAGACACGCTCAGCTTTATAAACAATTTCTAAAGCTCGTGATCGATCACGCGGCGGCGGGGACGGTGTTACGAACAGGTTGAAAAATAAATGAGTCTGTTTTAAAATCTCCATTGCCTCCGGCGACGCGTGTTTTAACCAGCTTCGGCATTAAACGTCTCATATTTGTTTGTATGTTAAGTTTAATCGGTATGTATGTGTTCGCGAATCATTTTCAAAAACTTGAAGAACTGACTGGTTGGTCGATATATAATGAGAAAATTAACAAGCTAGCAAAGCCACTGATGAATTTCATTCGAGAAATGTTATACTAGGTTTCATGCGAGAGTGTAAAATCAGAAATTCAGTTCCATCAACGGTTTTTTTTCACGATAATATGATTATCAATTATGATATGCTGTTAAAGATTTCTCACATAATCGAGTTTTTACATCTTTCCTTTTCTTAAGAGCGCGGAGATTGCTTTTTCTTTCGACATACGCAGTAGAGTGGTTGAACTTTTCTTTCCCTCTCAAGTTGATTGCATTAATAGGAATCAAAATATGATAAGAAGTAATATAGAGAGGCGTTTTTTCTGCAAAACTTGGAAACTGCATTTTGCTATTGTGTCTCATTGTCGTTCTAAAAGCAATTTTCCGCGTTAATGCAGCGTGACGTGCGGAAGTCCATGCTTTCTTCGCCGAGGTAAAAAACGCAAGCGAATTATGAGAAAAGAGATGCTCAATCCTATATCGCACCGCCTCTCTCTCTCTCTCTTTCCCTCCGTATAATCTTATTAGCCCGCAGTTTTATTAGTTAAAATTTAAAGGTTTCTTAATGACTAGCGAAGAGCGCGGCGCGAAACTGCGATTATCGTCGTTAAGTTTTTTGTCGAAATAACTGTCGCAAGTTGAAAACGTGGAAACTTTTCCTCGTAATTAGCCCGCTACGCGCGACCCCAATTAAATTTTGCGCGCCGATAAACCACCACCGAAGCCAGAAAAACTTCATGCCGCGATACAATGAAATCTGTGCCTTGATTAATGAATTTGTATTTCGTCGAGTACTCTTGTCAATAGTCGTTTCGCGTATTTGATTCCTCGCTTGCGCAACGATATTTTCACAAAATTAAATGAACGTTATAGCTCGGAGGAAGGCAATTGCAAGCGAAAAACCAATCGCGCACGCTTTTACGACGGCAGTCGGTGGATCTTCGGAGAGAAGGAACTTACTACTTCCATCACTCCATTGGAATTTGATCGAGCGACACTTAATACTTGTTGGAAAAGTGCAATGGTCACAGATCATATTTCGCAGTTCCGTTCATTATTTTTCAGATCTATGTGTGATCTATCATTTTGTTGGATTCCCCCATTCTGCCTTTCATTTCATCGCGAGCGTTGCTTTCGGTCTTTCTTCTCTATTTCTCGTCGTATTCTACCGCTTTATTATTTCCCAGCACGTGAAAAATCGTTTCTTCTCGTACAATATTCTTCTATTCACGCGTAAAATATAACAGCCCTCGTATACAATTTGCTAGGACTTTGCGTAATAAATAGAAATAATAATTGCGTAATAATAAATAGAATGGAAGGCGCTTTAATTGCATATACTTCATTTCAAATACGTTCTATAATTGGTTAGCCAGTGCGTAGTTTAATGGAGTAACTACGTTTTATATGTATTAAAGAGAACTTTTCAACATACGCCGAAATCTCGTGTGGAATTAAAATGGATTTCGAGAATTCCGTACTTTTCCCTCAATTTTAATAGGATTCATAGCTAAATTTTTCGTAGAAAATTATTAATTATAATTTAATTGTTGTTTGAATAGTAGTATCATCTAAATGATTTATTCTCACACGCAATTTTATGTCGCTTACCAGTCCGTGTAAAATATGAGAGACTTTCGGTTTACGCGTTGACACGTTAAAATTTATTTAGTCAAACAGAATCACAATGGATTACCACCGAAATATGTGAGACAATTATTTATTACGCGTGCAAATAACATCACCGTGATACAGCGATAGTTCGCGCGTCTCGTGACTCTTTGGGTATAAATTTATTTATCTTGACTCGCGACCCGGGAAATTTGTTTAGTCACCGGTAGTGCCGCGCGTCAACGTGGAATTCTGTTTTAAAACCATATTGATGGATTAACGGAAAAATTTACTTTGGTTCTACACATACCGCTGAAAAATGCATATTATGTTTGACCAAATCAGCAAACGGAAATAAATATGTGTGTGTACGTGTATGCAAAATAAAAATCAAATATTGTGATTCACTGGGTAATTTTCTAAATTACTTTATCCAATTTTATATTTCATCCAACATTCATGTATCTTATGAATATTGAATAATTTGTTATACTGATTGCATCTCTCCAAGGTACAAAATTTTCAACGAGCATGTTGCATTTCTCTACTCTATAAATTTTTTTGAATAAAATTGTATTCAAAACAAGTGTAAAGTAGCAATATTTCTACTCCATATGAAAACTGCCACTCGAAATCGCGAGAGTGAATGTTTCATTCAAACTTAGAGTGGATTCTGACTCTATATAAGTGAATGTCAATGTTCAATCAATCAGAGTGAATATGTTCCTGTAACAGTGACATACATACATCACTCTTCAATTTTGAGTGAAAATATTCTCTCGAAGACTCAGAGCAAAGAAAATTGATTTTACATAAGTAAAAAATTACTCGAATTCAAGTAATTAGGTGGTCATTCTATTTTTCTAGCGAAATTTCATTCTAAGAAATTTAGAAAACAAGACGAAGATTTCAAAACATTAGAATGTTCTAATCTAAAATTAACAAATTTGTGTTCCTTTATCCTTTTGGGAATAAAAATTTTCGTAATATCCAAGTTAAATCAGAAGCAAATATTTACGAATTTTTTGAAATAGTTCTCTTTAAATGAAATTGATTGAAATTCAAATTTTGGACGCGCGCAAATATTATTCCTATAAATCTAAATATACGTTTCCTCTGCTCTTCCCTTGCGCGACCTACGAGAGTCTTTATATTTGTTCATAAAATATTTGTCTCTACTGTTTGTTCATACAAGGTTCTATTCCTTCCGCGTTAATGGATCCGTAGTTGACCTTAACTTAATGGCTCACGAAACCGACGACAATATAGAAAGAGATCTGATTGCGATTGTATGCCTTCCTCTCTTTCTCTTTATCGACCCGATCAAATATCCCGCAACTGTCTCACATTAAAAATAAACTTAGAAACAATACGAACGGTTCTGGACGTATTAAGGGAGAAGACATGATGCAAAATTACGACGATAAACATCTTATATTCTTGCTCAAGAAAAGCCATTTCAATGAGCAATTAGCGGAACATCTCAGAGTTGAAAATTTACTCTCAGTTAAACCGAACACTTGACTCGAGATAAATCGAGTTAATTTCTACCGTCAGCTTTTACGTTCTCTTACTTGTGCTATTTGGTCGAATCTGCCGAAGAGCTCGTTGAGAGTCTTCACAAGATCGGAAGCCGACAGCTGCTCCGACAACGGCGTAAAGTTGACGATATCCGCGTAGAGAATGCTACCAACAGAAAGATATCTTCCATAATTATACGTGCAATTACACGTTATAAAATTTTATAAAAAAAAAAATATATACACACACTCATATAGAAATATGTAAAGTAGGCGTAAAGAATTCCAATTATCTTTCAAGACACATATTAATATTTTACGTTTCACGTTTATATTATCACCCTTTCAAATGGATCAAAAAAGAATACGAGGAGTTCTTTTATTTATGGATTGTGCGACACTTTATTGAAGAATATTAATATGTGGATTTTAAACGCGCGTGCGGAATGATTTATTCGTATTCTGGATCGCTTCTCTTTGAAAAAGTACGAAAGAAGTGATTAATATTATCGTTTAATTACAACCGCGTAATGGATATCGTACATCCTCCGACATTCATGTAATTTATAGCAGCACATTAATCTTGGCCAGCACGTATATCTCAAAGAAAGAGCCATCGTGAAATTCGCTTTTGATCGATCGACGTTTAAAGTGCTCAGGTTGAATCGGACGCTGCACAATCGCGCAAGCACGTGACGCAAATTTGGACTGGATCGGTGCATAAATGAAGGATTCAGCTTGTAATCGATATGCGTCGCACATGGCGTGTGCTTAATTGTCCTGGCAATCAATATAACGCGTTATGATCGCAATCCCGCACGATCCTGCACGACAATCGGGCGCGCGTTTTTCGAAAATAAATATATCATATTATTCCAGATTACCTTGACCTTGCTTCTTTATTTTATTTCTAACGCCGCTCCTTCCGTCGGAAAATTGATCGGATATTCGTACGAATGAGAGAACTCCTTTCGCTCTGATATCGTTGAAGCAATCGCAGTTAATTACGATGATTTAAAATAAATAAAAATAAATAAATAAATATGCGCGCGCTTGTGTGAATGCATGTGTGTGGACGAACGTGATTCAGAATTCCATATGAAATTGAAATTACGGTTAATTTGCACGACCTTATAAAGGGAACGCGCGTTTGGGTTAATATTATAACAATCGGAACCGCGCGCAGCGATTCCTTTCGTTACGATCAAACACGCACACCCAAATAAAGCAATTTTAATAACGTACCTGACATTATTATGTCGTTGCACATACATCTCTTGGAACGTGGTTTGCTTGTGCTTATTAGCTTCCTGACAAGCATCCGCCATTTTCAGCATTATGCTCCTCTTTACCTGCGAGACGCTGATTATATTAACACTTTGCATATGAATACCATTCACATGTGAATACATAAGCGAGCGCACGTATATTATTACAGTTACACAGCGGCTCTGTGCCGCCGTACAAGCGCTAATTAGAGGTTAACTATATATATATATAATATTTATACACATATTCCTGCGTAACGCGGAAACTGGAAATATGTATATTATATAACGACTTTACGTTGACAAAGCAGCACGTTAGTTTACGATTAGTGGATTAACGCGCAAATTACTTATTCAAAATCATAAATCATTAATGTTACCGACAAACACGGTTAAACGGTACGTACAGCGTACGCCCGTCGCTCCAAAATTTGGACAATCGATGCTAATAAATCTAATAGTGCGATAAAAGTCTAATTAAAAGCGTAATCCGTCGGATTATTTTGAAATATTCCTCCGTGACGAAATTTCGCCAGAAATTCTGCCGCAATATTTATTTGCAATGCTACCAAAATGTATTGTCGTTTTGTTACGTTGCTGTATATTCGATTATTCGTATTTCTCGTGTGAAATCGACAAGCCAAAGACACACGTTTTTAAATTAGCTTACAATGAATACTAATAAATTCAATAGTGCAATAAAAGTTTAATTAAAAGCGTAATTTCTGATGGATTAATTTTTAATTACTTTTTCGTGTCGAAATTTCGCTGAAAATTCTACCATAATATAATCTATCGCAATTAGACTGTTATTAAAATTCGTTGTTATTACAACGATATGTAATACATTGCTCTATGATTCGATTAATATTTTCTGTGTAAAATCGATTATTCAAAGATAAAGACCCGTTTCTAGATTGGCTTTTAGGATTATTGCTATGGCAGATCGGATTTCTCTACTCGGAAGTAAGCAAGATCCGGCGTGATTGCGCAAGGGCGTCGAATATTTACGCGAAGAAGAACGTTTATACTTTTGTTGGTTTTATAGCAGGATCCCATCAGCGCGTCGTGAAACCGTCTTACATTACGCGACATTATACGTGGGCTGCTCTCAGATAAATGTGCTCTCTCAGAGGTACAATTAATACGACCGGCGAAGGGCTTTCCCGACTAATTGCTCCCCACCCCCGCGTCCTTAAATAATTAATATAAAACTTTCGTTATACACACACTTACACACAACGCGTATTCTTCCCCATCCTTTATCTCGAGCAAAGTTACGAATTAAAGTACGGTTTTACCGGGGGAGTTTTTCGTCGATTCTTAATTACATTCGTTAGAGAACTCCTTCTCGCGAAAGTCACCGCCCGCTTCCTGTTACAGCACGACGTTTCTTAAACTTGCATCGCGAGAAGTCGTAGGTCGTAATACGCGCAACGTCTACGACGGAGACAGTCGTTCGGAATTTAATCTTTATTTTTCTCTTTCTGTATTGGACTTGTTTTTACGAGATGGCGGATGTTCGTAAGTACCTCTTGTTAGTTTCCCGAATGCGGAGCACTTGAGAGCTAAACAATTATTAAGAACAACACACAATCTGAAATACACTGAGAGGAAAAAATATATATAAAATAAAAAATATTTATCCACTTGTGATTATACGTACTGATAATACGTATTTATGTCTAGGTATAGCTTCCGGAATGGAGCCGTGTCTTGAATCAGCGATATACTGGCATATCGCTGATTCAAGACACGGCTCCATTCCGGAAGCTATACCTAGACAT